CCGCGCTCCCCCAGCCGCCCCCCCGGCCCTGCCCCAGCTGCTCCCTCGGGGGGCTACGCTCAGGCTCAGGGGGTACCCCGGGCTGGCAGCCCCGGCCGCAGGGCCACTGGTACAAGTGGCCTTTCTCTGCCATACAGTGAACAGCTCGGTCTGCAGGGAGTCAGCGGGGTGTAACTCCCTCATTTCTGCTCTCCCTTTGCTACCTGCAGGCTCTGAAGAGCTCAGGCCTTTGCAGGTTGAGCCCCTCGCCCTGCAAGAGTGGAACCCCCTGTACCTGCCCCCCCTGCAGCGTGGGGGAACCTGGGCAACCACCAATCCTGCCTCATGCAGGAGTTCCACAGCGCAGCAGCACGTGCTGCTGTGAAGGTTTTCTAAGCATGAGTTTGGGATGATGGTGCCAGCCCTGGGTGTGAGCGGGGAGGGTTGTCCCTCAGGGGCCTCTCTGCATCTTCATAGCAGAAGGGGGCAGGGCTGTGCCAAGTTACAGAGTTATTCTCACTGCTGTTGGAGAATTTGAAAGCTTTATTTTGTTCCTGCCTTTGGCAGCCCTCTGTGTAGTGCCAAGTGCTCTACTAACGTGTGCAGACCTCGGATATAAGGCAAGGTGACACCCCGAGGGGTTACTGTGACAAAATCACAGAGCATGTTAGTGAGAAGCAGGGAACCTCCCAGGGCCCTGGGCAGAAATAAATCCCAACACCACAGAACTTTGAAAAACACAGAAACCAAGAGCACCTTTATTAATATAAAATAGATTTTAGGAAGAAACACTGACAGAAGGTCAAGAGGTGTCTTGAAACGCTCTGAGGCAGCAACAGTTCTGCACACCAGGCTGCAGACAGTGTAAATCCCACTGAGCTCTGCTGCATCACTCCATTTTCATGAAGTTTGGTCATTTAGATTTTATTTGTCCCCACCTGGCACCAAAGGGCACATGAGGCACGTGGAACAGATCCAGTGCAGGTGCCTGGCGTCCCTCCCCACAGCAGGGCGCCCCAGCTCCTCACGGCTCGGCCAGACACTGCTCCAAAGCTGCCATGCCATACAGGTTGGCCCACTCCTCGCCGTGGTGTGCCAGGATCACAGCCCTGCAGGGCTCGCTGGCCCTGGCCAGCTCCACCAGCACGCCCTGGAAAGCTGTGACGAGCTCCAGGTCCAGGGAGGCCGGAGCGACGCGGGTCAGGAGCGCCGAGCGCTGCTCCAGCCAGCGCGCCCGCAGCACGGCCTGGGGCAGGCAGGGCAGCAGTGGCACACAGCCAGCCAGGGCCTGCATGCCCAGCAGCCAGAGCTCACGGATGTCAGCCCAGGTGTCCAGGTAGGTGGGTGACACAGCCACGACCAGGCCACTGCCACCACCAGGCTCTGCCTGGGCCACGTGGGCCTCTGAGAGGAAGCGAACAGCGGCTCCGAAAAACTCCTTGGCAGGCTGGGTTCCCTGAAGAGCTGGAAGGAAAAGGAGATGTGTGACTCGAGGCAAAAGGAAGGCAAAGGAGGGACTCTTCAGTGGCTCTGTCTGTGGAAGGGGCCGCCCGGAGGG